AGAGAGAGAGAGAGAGAGAGAGAGAGAGAGAGAGAGAGAGAGAGAGAGATAGAACCTAGCCTAAGAAACAGGGAGAGCTCGAGTTTTGACATATTGTGCTTGAGGCACTTGCCCATCTATTTTCAGCCCATTCTCCACATTGCTGAAGAGTAATCTCTACAAGACATATATCTAATCAAACAATTCCCTAATGTAGATTTCTGAGTGAGCTCTGGGAATAATGCTCAAAGGCTAAAACATGGTATAACAGGCTTCTCATGATCTCTGCCTTTCTCTCTACCTTTATTTCCAGCCACGTCCAACTAGGAGTGTCTTCCCTAGAGTGCCATTATCTCATCCCTCTGCACACACAGGGTTCTTGATTTAGAGGCTTTTTTCTACTTGTTCTGGAAGTTTCTATCCAAGGCTCACTTCTTCTGGTACCACCTGGTCTGGATCTGGGTCCCTTCCTTCATGCTCCTGTTGCTCTTTCATAACACACAATACATACTTAATTCTTTCTCTACTTTATCCACCCTTACTCTCAGGCTATACGCTAAAGGACCCTCTATGTCTTTTCTCCAGACCATAGCAGACTCCTCTGTAAACCCTACGTGGTTAAGTGAATAAATGAGTGAATGAATGACTGGGCTGAGATATCGTTACAGAAAATGTTACAGATTACAAAGAAAAAGAGAGTAGGGATTTCTGGGCAACATGACATTTTAGGAACCGTTGTTATTAAGTACCATGGAGTAGGTTCCGACTCATAGTGACCCTGCATAGGATTTCTGAGGCTGTAAATCTTTATGGGAGCAGAAGCCTCATCTTTCTCCCATGGAAGAGCTTGTAGTTTTGAACTGTCGACCTTGAGGTTAGCAGCCTGATTTGTAACCACTATGCTACCAGAGCTCCTTATTTTAGGAACATGTAAAGCAAGAAGGAGTCAGGGAGGAAGCCAAGGAGTGCCAATTAGAGAGGTCCTGCTGTGGCACTGTGGGTTAATGGGCCAGACTGCAAAGTCATTTGAACTGCAAGGTCAGTGGTTCAAGCTCACCAGCTGCTCCTTGGAAACCCCATACAGGCTGCTGTGGGTCAGAACCAACTCGATAACACTTAACAACAACAACAAGAAGAAGGAATAATGAGAACATGGTTTCATGGACACCCATAAAGGAGAGATTTATATCATATAAACTAGTCATCATTTCCATGTGGTAGCAATGTTCCCAGGTTTGGCGGGCATCAGTGCTAGCACTTCAGGCCTTTAGCTCAGCCTGGGGTCTCTTCTCCTATCCTCTTTAGCTCAGCCTGGGGTCTCTTCTCCTATCCTCTGGGAAGAGGAGAAAAGAAATCAGAGAGAAGGATGAAGAGCAGGAGATATTTGTTTGCCTGCTATATGTCAGAACACTAGCTTATTGAGTTACAAGTTCAGTGACTTGGAACAAATCATTCAACTTCTCTGAACCTATTTCTTAAAACCTGAGGAAAATAATAGTATCTTCTTAATAGGATGTTGTGAAATTTAAATACTCATAAATTAATTAGTATAATATCTGGTTCATGGCAAGCTGAAAACCATGTTATTTATTATTATTATATTATTAAGAGTAGGTAAGGGCTTTCAGAAATGTTTTCTAAAAGAAGGTTTCACATATACTGAGTTATTAAATCTCACAGATACAACTGAGATATTCATTTTGTCAGTTTAATTTCATAACTATCAATTGTCTTCCATGTGCCTAGCATGTGCTAGAAACTGCTGGTCATACCAGAGAATTATCTTACCAGAGAACAGTCATGGCTCTTGCCCTCAAAGAGTAGAAGAGAAAAGCTAGATCACATGATAAACGTACAGGACAGTAGATCTTGGGACAGGATGAGAGGCAAGGTGGGTGAACACAAAATCCAGAGGTCAAGAGGAAGACAGCATGGGAGTGTGGTCGGAGAGGGTGCAGGAAGCAGTGGGAGTCAGCATTGGGTCGTGGACACTGGTCTGAGAAGAGGATACAATCTGGTAAGGCCCTTCTCCAGGAGATCCAATTCTTACCTTCTCTTCCATGTCTGTTTTGGTAACAAGCACCTCTTCAGCAAAGCCCACTTCTCTCTCTCGCTTGATTCCCCGCCCGTCTTTATCAAAGACCTTCCAGGTGAATAGACAGCCATCCTCAGCTGCAGTAAGCAAGTATTGGTCATCAAAGGTAATCAACATCTGAGGAGAAAGAGACCACGGACAGGAAGCTTTCTGAGGCTATAGATGACCAGGAGGAGCTGGCTATTGTGGACAGCCTTGCTCCTAAAAAGTCTAATGGGGAGGAAGACTGGAGCTTGCATAAGGACGAGACAGGGACCCTTGTGGGCTTCCATCAATGAGTAACAAAAATAAGACGATGTCTATGTTCTCAGTGGACTTGGTCTCTTCAGGGTGAACAACGAGGCTTCAAAAAGTTCATGGAAAAATTTCATCATTTTTCAATTCCATTTTTCCACAACCTTTTTGAAGCCCCCTTGTATAATATAACTTTCTATGCTCCTCAGAAACCCTACACAGGGTGGCTATGACTTGGCACTAACTTGATGATACTTTACAGCAACAACAACAACAACACACATATACATGTGGAGTCCTGGTGTGGCACTGGGGGTTAATGCGCTGGACTGCAAGGTAGGTTTGAATCACAAGGTTGCTGGTTCAAGCTCACCAGTCGCTTCTTGTAAACCCTATACAGGGTCGCTATGAGTTGGAACCAATTCGATAGC